GAATCTGTTAGCTGAGCACAAGAAGTAGGCAGTAATCTTTGCTACCTCTTGTGGAGATAAAATAAAGTGGTTCACTCTATTATTTCATAGCTGATGGTATAATGATGATCTGGAGAACTAGTAAGATTACTTTTGATGAACTAGGTTTTAGAAAACAGTAATCTGTGCATTGTTTTGGGATTTTCATGAGGAAATGGGTTTAATGTGATTTTCATTATAAAATGGTTAAGATACAGATTTCCACAGACATTGATACACTGATACCCAGCCCTCCATAATGTAGATGATGAACTTAACTTTCAAAAACAGGTTTTTGTGATGAAAATAATGCATTCCTTCATTTGACAAAAAAGAAACAAGCAAATCAACTTACTGAGGCTCCCACTGAGTGCCATTAGGTCCTTGGGATACAGTAATGCATAGGTCAGAAAGATCTCTGCTATAAGTTTTCTTGTATTATATTGGGGAAAGGACTGATAATAAGAAACCAAATAAACACGATACAATTTTAGATGATAAGTTTATATGATAGTAATAACTTGTTTGCATAAAAAAATTCTACTATCTAAAATATCACTACAAATACTTTAGTGTTTCTCATTGTAATATATGTATGAAAGCATAATAAATAAATGAGATACTATTATATAGTTTGTAACCTACTTTTAATTAACAATATACAATATTGTAAGTATTTTTTCATGGTATTATACGTTTTTCCACAAAACTGTTTATTTGGCTACCCGAAACATACTATTTTGAATGAATATAACATAATGTATTCACATTAATCACCCAGATTAGCCCTCATTTTACCTCATTACAATCAGGGATTTAATGAACACCCAGGTTGGTAAATCTTTGTGTGCATCTATAATCGTGTCCTTAGAATAAATTTCTTGCATCAAAACTGTTGGTTCAAATGGTATTCAAATTTCAAAAATTGGGCCAGTCATGGTGACACATGCTTGTAATCCCAGCGCTTTGGCATGCTAGGACTGGCAGATCATGTAAGCCCAGGAGTTTGAGACCAACCTGGGCAATATGGTGAAATCTGTCTCTACAAAAAGTAGAAAAGATTAGCCACACATGGTGGCATGTGCCTATAGTCCCAGCAAACCTGGGAGGCTGAGGTTGGAGGACTGCCTGAACCCGGGAAGTTGAGGTTGCAGTGAACCATGATCGTGCCATTGCACTCCAGCGTGGGTGACAGAGTGAGACCCTGTCTCAAAAAAAAAAAAAAAATTCAAAATGTGATGTACTTTTTAAAATAGTCTTCCCAAAATGCTGTATAATTTAGCCTCCCTCTGACTGTTGATGAGGTCTCTGGTTCATCTCATCCTTAACAGCACTGAATAATATCTTCCCTCCCCAAAAACTTTATGGGAGGAAAGAAACTCATTTTCATTTTGACATCTATTATTTTTCTCTTTTTTTAAGGCACAACTCACATATGAAATTCACCATTTTAAAGTGTACAACTCAATGGTTTTCACTATTCACAAAGTTGTGTAAGAACCATCACCACTATCTAATTCCAGAACTCTTTTCTAGCTTGGAAAGGAAATCCCACACTCATTAGCCGTAACTCCCGATTTCCCTCTCCTTCAACCCTGGCAGCCACTAAGCTGCTCTCTGTTTCTATGGATTTGCCTATCCTAGGGATCTCATATAAATGGAATCATACAACACGTGGCCTTCTCTGCCTGGCTTCTTCCACTAAGCATAATGTTTTCAAGCTTCATCCATGTTGTAGCATGTAACAGTAATTCTTTTTATTGCCAAATAACTTTTCATTGTATGGATCTTCCACATTTGATTTACTCATTCGTCAACTGATGGACATTTGGCTTGTTTCTACTTTTTGGTTATTACGAATAAAGCTGCTATGAACATTTACGTACATGTTTTCATGTGAATATATGTTTCCAATTCTCTTGGCTGCATACCTAGGAGTGGAATTGCTGCCTTGTCTGGTGACTGTTTAATTTTGGAGTAACTGTCAGACTGTTTTTATATTGACTACACCATTTTACCTTCCCACCAGCTATGTCTGAGGGTTCCACGTTTACCACATCTTCAACACTTGTTTTTGTTGTTATTTCTTAATTACAGCTAGTCTAGTGGGTGTAAAGTGGTATCCCATTGTTGTTTTGATTTGTATTTTTGTATTTCTCTCTATCCTTTTTTTTTTTTTTTTTGGAGATATGTGTGCCTTTATTAGCTGAGCTACTACTTGAGAGGGATGAAGCGGGAGGAGTGGGTGGCCCCGACAGCCCGGCCGGCAGTGCCTCACGGGCTTGTAGGTGATGGAGAACTCGCCCAGGTAGTGGCCGATAATCTCTGTCTTGATCTCCACCTACTTGGAGGTCTTGCAGTTGTAGACGCCCACCATGCTGCCCACCATCTCGGGCAGGATAATCATGTCTGCAGGTGCGTATCACTTCCGGCTTCTTCATGGGGTGGTGGGCTGGGTGGCCCCCCCCCCCTTCGTGGCCTTGCGCAGGCGCTTCAGCAGCGAGTGCTGCTTCCGCCACAGGCCCGGGGTGCGCGGCCGCCGCTGGCGCGCACTGTACAGCTGCATCAGCTGCTCGTAGGACATTGTCCAGCAGCTGGTCCAGGTCCACACCGCGGAAGGTCCGCTGCTTCTTCTGCTCGACCTCTGCCATCTTGCCGGATCCTCAGAAAAGCTGATTTGTATTTCTCCAGTGACTAAGGATGTTGAGTCCCTTGTCATGTGCTTATTGGCTATTTGTATATTTTCTTTGGCAAAGTATCTGTTCAAATCTTTCTCCCATTTGAAAATTAGATTGTTTGTTTGAATTGTAGAGAATGTAAATTATTTTGCTGCTTGTAACTGCTCCCCAAGCTTCTGGATACCGTTGTTAAAAAATATCATGACTTAGATTTTATCCCCGTGCTCTTGGAATCCTCAGGTTTCTGTGACACAGAGTTGAAGCCAGAGTTCAATCATTCTAGGGGACACTCAGCACCACTGTAGCACCTAGAGAGATCATCTGAAGGGAGTGATTTTTGTCTCAACAGATGGATTTTCAGTGAAGATGAAACTAATCCATTTTGGAGAGAGATGTTAGGGAACTGATGGGGTTCAGGACATGCTACCCCAAAATAATGGTACCTTGGCACATGAGAAAACAGCAGAAGCAAGAGGGTTACTTTCACTTTACCCAGATCTTCTCTTCTGAGGCAGGCTCATGAGACTTTCATTCCAGAAGTGCCTTCCCTATATCTGGAGGAAAGGGATATCCTTATCTCTGAAGACACAGGTACAGGGAGAAGAATCTGAACAAATAGGCCTTTTCAAGTAAGTCTCCCCAGTTTATTACCGTTAGATCATAGACATTTGTCCAATCATACCTCTCTATGACTTCCACTTCTTTATCAATCCTAGCCTTAAAAATACACAGGTTTCTCTATTAACTTTGAGTCTTCATTTCTTTTTTTTTTTTTTTTTGAGACGGAGTTTCACTCATGTTACCCAGGCTGGAGTGCAATGGCGCGATCTCGGCTCACCGCAACCTCCGCCTCCTGGGTTCAGGCAATTCTCCCGCCTCAGCCTCCTGAGTAGCTGGGAATTACAGGCACGCACCACCACGCCCAGCTAATTTTTTGTATTTTTAGTGGAGACGGGGTTTCACCATGTTGGCCAGGATGGTCTCGATCTCTTGACCTCGTGATCCACCCGCCTCGGCCTCCCAAAGTGCTGGGATTACAGGCTTGAGCCACCGCGCCCGGCCGGGTCTTCATTTCTAAAGTCTCCTGTTTTGTGTAAAACTTATATAAACAAATTAGTATGTTTTTCTCTTGTTAATGTGTCTGTTGTTACAGGGGCTTCAGCCATAAACCTAGTAATGAATGAGAAAAATTTTTTTTCCTTCTCTATAGAACATGCACTAGCTGCAAGGAGAAAGAGGAGTATGCCTGGTTTTAAAGCTTCAGATAATTTACTCACACTCCTATATTTAACATTCTAGAAATGCATCTGGAGTTAAAGCCCTCTTGGAGATTTGAGAAAAATGCACTTACGAATGACCTTTTGAAACCTAATGTTTCTACAAGGAGGCATTTGCAACTCCTTCTAGAAGCTTCCATAAATCTCCTGCCTTCCCAGATGAGTTACCCCTTGTCTGAAATGTCACAGCACACAGTCTTACTCTTCTATGGTCTAGTTACTTTCTACTGGTATTTGTGTTACTCATGCTACCCATCTTATCTCCCTCACTATATGAGACACAGTAATTTTCAGTAGGATATAGCAGGTGCTACAGATGATTAGCAAGTTTGCAAACTTGCCAATCATCTGTAGCACCTGCTATATCCTACTGAAAATTACCAAAATGCAATTAACTTCAATTTTACATTTGGGATTTACAGAAATTAACTCTGTCTCCAAGAAACGTGTTAACAATTTAGCTAGGGCAAATGCCAGCTCCGAGTTAAGACATTAATGCGCATCTATCGCGATAAGGATTTGAGCCTCATCCTCATCTTTCTGTGTTGTCTAACTCAAGATAGGTCAGTAAAGAAAACCTTTTCCTCTTAGCAACCCAATCTGCTTCCCTTCTCTGGCCTCTTTCTTTCCTTTTGTTGGTAGACGACTTTAGCCTCTGTCCTTTATTTTTAAACAGTTCATGCCCCACGTGTACCCCTCGTCTTTTGGTGATTTAGAGATTTTCAAAGCCTCTTCTGACAGAATCTTTCCTGGATTCCGACTTCTCTACTTTGGGGTGGAAACGGCTTCCCCATTTTGAAACGCTAGCAAGGGAAAAAATGGGGGAGAAAGTTGCATTTAAACTTTTAAAAGTTGAGTCACGGCTGGTTGCGCAGCAAAAGCCCCGCAGTGTAGAGAAAGCCTAAACGTGGTTTGGGTGGTGCGGCGTTGGGGGGGGGTGACTTATGGGGAACAAGGGACCGTGGAGCCCCGGGACTGTTGGGGTCCTGCCGCGGCCTCCGGCGCGCCCCCCGCCCCTCCCCCACCCGGCTCTCCCCGGGACAGATGTCGCGCTTGCGTGTTGTGGCCGAAGCGCCGGACTCAGAGGCCGGCCCCAGAAAACCCCGAGCGAGTAGGGGGGCGGCGCGCAGGAGGGAGGAGAGCCGGGGGCGCGGGTGGCTGGTGGGTGTCGGGGGTGGAGATGTAGAAGATGTGACGCCGCGGCCCGGAGGGTGCCAGATCAGCGGACGCGGTGCCCGCGGTTGCAACGGAATCCCGGGCGCTGCAGTTTGCTAGGCGGCTCTCCCCAGGCGCCGGCCGCGGAAACACCCTTCCCTGAACCCCAGGTTTCGGGCCGCCAGCTCGCCGCGCACCAGGAGCCGGCGGACAGAAGAGCGGCCAAGCGGCGCGAGGCTGGGGGCCCGCGGGCGCGGCCGCGCGCTGCCGGGCGGGAGGCTGGGGGGCCGGGGCCGGGGCCGTGCCCCGGAGCGGGTTGGAGGCCGCGGCCGGGGCCGGGGGGCGGCGGCTCCCCGCTCGGCTCCAGCGGCTCGGGGTCCCCGGCAGGGCTCCGGAGGGACCATGGCAGCCGGGAGCATCACCACGCTGCCCGCCCTGCCCGAGGACGGCGGCAGCGGCGCCTTCCCGCCCGGCCACTTCAAAGACCCCAAGCGGCTGTACTGCAAAAACGGGGGCTTCTTCCTGCGAATCCACCCCGACGGCCGAGTGGACGGGGTCCGGGAGAAGAGCGACCCTCACAGTGAGTGCCGGCCCATTGACCCCGCCCCATTTCCATTTCCCGGGTCCTCGCCTGCTGTCTCCCCTCCAGCCTGCACTCTCCTCCCGGATCTTCATTGCGACCCTAGCGGTCCGTGTGGTTTCTGGCCGCGCGGCCCTCAGCGGTTTCGGGTTCACCACTCGCCCCCTCCTTCCCGAGCTGCGGCGTAGGCCCGGGCGTCCCCCGGGCTTTGGGGTGTTCCAGTTTGCCCTGTAAACCAGTCTCCGCGGCCCGGAGCCGCGGCGCGCCGGGCCCTCGCGGACGGGCTCCCTTCCCGCAGACAACCTGTCGCGTCGGGGATGCCCGCGGCCCCGCCGTGCAGCTGTGGCCGCTTGTGTGTCTGCTGCGGGGGACCGAGTGTGTTTCCCTCAAAGACAGGACGGACCGCAGCAGCACAAAACGGTCTTTACTGGAAAAACACCTTCCCAGAGTCCTGCCCTTAAATTCCGACTCTGGAAGAACCGAGGCATATGGCACACTCCTCTCACACACTCAGTTTTATATTTTTCCGAATTGACGAAAGCTGAAAGAGCAAAAACAAAACCCAACCAGGCAAGAAATCCAGATGTTGTTAATAACTTGCGACAGATTTGTTTCAGTAGTGAAAAGAGGTGCAAACACTTTAATCTTCCACCTGCAGTGACTAGCTTTAAGACCTTGGGCCAACGTGTAACCCCAGAGCCGGTTTCCACATCCCTAACGTGGGGCTAATACCTACCTTGCAGCAGGTTTGAGGATGAAATGAGAATTGCAGTTTTGCTTTCTCTAAGAAACAATGTTTATGATTCTAGAGAGAACACTGGCCTAAATCAGGGGTTCCTGGACTTTAGGAGACTCCCTAAGTCTGGAGTAGGGGCTGAAGATTTGCGTTTCTAACATGTTCCCCGGGGATGCTGATCACATCTTACTTTGAGAGCCACTGGTCTAAAGGAAGGAAGAAGAAAGTGGCGTAAGATGAGTCAATTTACAACACTGATGGAATTTGAAGTGAGAGAAAGAGGACTAGAATATATTTTAACCTGTCCTCTGTAAGTGTAGGTAAAGATATGTTTTAAAAGTTGTGTGTTCTGGCGTTCCTTCCTTTATGGGTTCCAGGTGGAGAATCTGATTCTCTCTCTGCCTGAGAAAAGACCCACAGGTGTCTGAGCGCCACTCCCCTGTAGTTCTGCCTTTGTCTTGGGATGCTAACGGGATGTCAAGAGCCGGGAGGAGGGAAGAGGAGAAAATTCTGCAAACAAACTTGAATTGGCAGAAGAAATACAGTTTTATATGAGCTGTGTCTTTATTGCTTCCAAAATAGCAACCAGCAAGAAAGGCAAGTCTTTAATTTTTTTTCAGGCCTGCCATAATTTAAAAATTAAATCACTTTATCCCGTAAAAGATGCTTGCAACCTATTACATGGGTTTGTGCTATTTCTCTATTCTGCTAACTTGAGTATCTGTTTCACAAAATTATCTTTGTGATTGAAATTTGTTATGCAGCTGTCTGCTAGGCCATCTCAGCTGACGAGGGCAAAGTGTTATGTGTCCCCATTAGTTTTGTTCTTTTCTAGTATCACAAACTATTAATTAAAAAGCATGTATTATGACCAGAGGACAGAAGAATTCTCTAAGTAATATTTGGGGCTTCCCGTAATACTCTTGTTTTCAAAGTCTGTTAGTTGCTGAATTCTTTTTTTCTTTGAAGATTTTGATACCGATTCTTCTTAGAATAAGACTATATAGAGGCTAGCCAATGGACATAATTTTGAATTACATACCATATTACTACCCTTTTAAAAACAGCTGTTAAGTTTTTCTTCCTAACTGTGAGCTGGGTTTTCATTTGTGTAATCTTTAACTCTGTGGTTCTCAAGTGATTTTGCCTCCCAGGGGATATTTGACAGTGCCTGGAGACAGTTTTGGTTACCCTAACCTGGAAGGGTGCTACTGGCATCTAGCACGTAGAGACCAGGGATGCTGCCAAACTCCTACAATGCACAGGATAATATCCCCAACAAAAAAATTTTTGACCCCAAATGTCATTAGTGCTCAGGTTGAGAACTCTGCCAACTTTGTAACTAGCTAAGGACAGGATGTTAAAAGGGAAAAGAAGAATAATCCATCCAGACTTTTAGAGACTACTAAATTTTTTTAAAATACTTTTATTTCTATAGGGTTTTGGAGAACAGGTGGTAATTGGTTAGTTACATGAGTAAGTTCTTTAGTGGTGATTGTGAGATTTTGGTGCAGCAGTCACCTGAGCAGTATACATTGAACCCAGTTTGTAGTCTTATCCCTCCCCAACTTCACACCCTTTCTTCCCAAGTCCCCAAAGAGACTACTCTTTTTTTTTTTTTTTAAAAAAAAAAAAAAAAAAAAAAAAGGATACCTGTACCAGGCAATAGACTGACAAGAGTACAAAACTAAAAATGACAAATTTCATACATTTCTATATAGCCCAACCGGAACATAAATTTAAGCACAGTTATATTTTCTCACATGTTGAATGTATACTGATAGTTGACCAAACCAGGAGGAGACACCCCAAAACAAACCAAACTGACCAGCAAACATGGAGAAAAGTTAATAGTAGCCATAATTTCCTACTGCATTATGGCTCAGATTTCTAGACCTGTTTGAAAAGTTGAAGGAGTCCGTGGTCTCATTCCTCAAATGGTTTTGTCCAATTGACCAGAAAATCTATCATTGGAAATTTTTTTGGCATGACACTTTCTGCCTACGTTTTCTAAACTGTGGATAACTTTTGAAAGGCCAAGTTCAGCCATTGTCAGATTTTGACATTTAGTATGCATTAAATTGTGAGTGCAATTTCTTCCTCAAAAGCTGGCCAGAAAGACTGGAGTTTGGGGAGGGATGCTTTGAAGACTGTGATATAAATGATGAGGTCCTGGAGAGGTGCAGGGGAAGAGGAGGCAAGGTGCGGGAGCCATGAGGTAGGAAAGAGGAAAACTTTCTAAACGGAGGGGTAGGAGAAGATGACAGAACACAAATGCTTCTGATTTTTCAGTGTTGCTGAAAGTCAGCTGTGCTTGCCCCCTGGGCATTCTGAATTTTACTCAAAAGGGCCCATTTTTTGGCATTTTTCTCGTCCTGGAATAATCTTCATTTGACAGGAGTGTCTTGATAAAAACAAGATGTTAAAAGTGATTATAGAGTTTCTCCTTCTCCAGCATGTGCACTGTACTCCCGCCTTCCTTTTGGCATCCTTAACTTTTGGCAGGCCTCTTTCTATGCGGTGGGAATGGATGATATTAAGTACATACTCTAAAGTAGCAAGCCATGTAAAAACATTGAGAAGAGAGAACACTTTATCCCAAGCAGCATGTACAACATGTGGTATAGAGAGTGAAACGTATGCTGCTTATGTACACTTAGTGTTCAGTTTATTCCAGGTGCTCTTACTTAGGAGAAAAAAGGTAGTTAGAAGTGCTAGATCTACCCTTGGGCTTCTCCCAGGAGGTGACTGCCTGTCTGCCACACTTCTTTGCTTCCAGACTTCAGAGGACGCTGAGACTTGGAAAGGCAGAGGGACCTGCCACTCCAGTGTGGAGCCGGGGTGGCTCATAGGTGTGCCTGACCGCTGGGCTCTTTGCCATTGCATGTGTTCCATGCAAGCCCAAGCATAAAAACATGGACTTGTGAAATTCAAAGGGAGGCCTCAGACCTTCTGGTTCACCCATCTCTTTTTATAGAAGAGGATACTGAAACTCAGAAAAGTAATTAATTACCCAAGTTCACCTGTTGATTTCTTCTTTTGTTATCCTGAACAAGCTTCTTACCACCAGGCCTTCTCTTCCTGCCATCCCTCAGCCTCAGTGCTGTCTTCCATTCCATCGTAAAGCATGTCCTGCTAGACTCTGCTTCGGTTAGGCTTCCTCCATTTCAGGGTAGTGAGATACCAGCCCCTCTGGGGAGTTTTTACTAGTTTACGGGTGCCTCAGGTTGATTTCCTGGGGTTTCGGATAAAGTCAACTTTCCTCTCTTCACTGCTGCCTTTGGGGTAAATAGAACTATTGATTTAATAATATATGTACTAGATTCTCTCCCACCACCTCTCTTTGGTAATATCTGGCAAGACTAATTTTACTTAATGAACACGGTATTTACTGTACTAAATATTGTGTGCTGCAAACAAATGAAGTCAGAAGCTAATAGTTCATTTAATTCTGGAAATCATGTAATCAGTACAGCAATGAAAGGACAATTCATGAGTCATAGATATTACCCCACCTTAGGAGCCTTTTAAGATGAGTTTGATGCCAAGTGACTTCAGCCTAGAAAAGGCAATATCCCCTCATGACATGCCCTGAGGGCTTTTATTTGTTTATGAAATGGCCATTATGTAATTAGACTTTGACAATGGTGTAACAATTGGGTTCTAAGTATTCTCATTTTGATTTATGATGCCATTTTATGTGGAAGGCCATGATTTTAAAGTTTAATTAGAAAATAAAATGTTACAGATGTAATGAACAAAACAAGAATCGTTCTTTAAATATTATAAACATAAAACTAAGTTTCTTCATCTACACACTGATTCTGAGAACTCATCAGTGATGTAGAAAAAGACAATTTAAGGTCTCACATTATTGGAACTACTATTTTAAAACCATGAAATGTGTGTATAAGATGGTAGTTACACATGTGCTGTGGTCTTTGCTTGTTTTTCTAATTCTAGTGTTTGTTGATTTTCCAAATACCTTGCTTGGGCTCCTTTCTCCTGTAGCACACATCTGTAAGAAAGCTGGCATGGGGTAAAAGTCTATGACCATGAAATGGAGCAAGGCAAATTTGCATCTTTGGTGCACAAATCCTTTTTTTTTTTTTTTGAGAGAGAGAGTCTCACTGTGTCGCCCAGACTGGAGTGCAAGTGGCACAGTCTTGCCTCACTACAACCTCCGCTTCCTGGGTTCAAGCAATTCTTCTGCTTCAGCTGGGATTACAGGCATCCGCCCAATACCTGGCTGATTTTTGTATTT